TCGGGTAAAAGTTTTTTTTTTTTTTTTTTTTTTTTTTTTGTAAGGTTAAAAGTTTATTGAAAATTTTGAAAGTTAAAGGAGTATTTTTGAAACAAATTACTAATAGTATCCATCCAAAATAACAATAAAGCTATCTTTGAACTTTTTTTTGAAAGTTTTAAGGGTATTATTATTGAAAATTTTGAAATTTTGAAGATTTTTTTGAAACAAAGTACAAGTTTAGGGGTATTTTCTATCGTTTAGCAGCCTATTGATTATGTATGTGAAGAATAAGTGAAAATTTCCTTGCATTGGGTTCAATATCTTTGTGGTGTTGTCTGCCACACAGCCATTTGACCCCCGAGTGTAGAAGGTGGCATCAATATCATAGTCAAATCCCTAATTGTTGATTTGTTATTTTACCGCACAGGCATTGGGATATGGACATGACCGTTCTTTCTGAATTGAGATTATGCATCAGGTATGTAGATTCCTATTTCTGTGATTATCATATTGACACCAGCAGGTTCATAGCCTGTTTTGGTCAACTGGTATGAGTTATTTTGTGGTTGAGCTTTGATTTGCCGTTTATGTTTTCAACCAGCATACATTACCATGAAAACAGAGTTGTTGTGCTGTTGTTCAAATCACTGTAGTGAATACAGATCTCTAATTTGATGGTAGCTTGATTTTAGGTCAATTTTGGAATAGATTCATGATCTTTGTAGCTCATCTAATGGTTCCTTGGTCGTTGGGATGAGAAATTTGTTGGAAATTGTCATGTTTTCCAAATCACTGTAGTGAACACAGATCTCCATTCATCATCTTTCTTTTTAATCATCTAAACAAGGCTCGAATAGGAGCTTATGATCAATTGTATGATGCTTGATGTCAACTTGATCTCATTTTTCTGGGCGTGTGGGTATCGTTATGGTCGCACATTAACCAGGGGTATGCCCTATACCAACTGAATACAATGGTCAATATCTCTATGTCCTTAAAAGGCAACCAAAAACACTTTCATAGTCATTCAACTTTTGTTGTAGGATTGTAGGAATTTGTTTCGTTTGTAGGACTAGTGTCGGAGCCTCAGAATGAGCGGCTCTTCCAAAGTTCTGAGTTTGTCAAGGTACCTGATCACTTCCTATGATTTGGGATTGTAGGAAATTATTCTGTTTGTAGGACTAGTCCCTGAGCTTCAGAATGAGTTCTTCCAAAGTTCTGAGTTTGACAAAGTACCTGATCACCTCCTACGATTTCATCACCTTCTTTAAAGTGTCCTTGGCTTTAGTTAAAGTGGGATCACCCCTCATGGTCACTTGAGCTTGGCCCTTGCCTACTGTCATATGGATGATTTCCAATATCTTTTCATCTTGCCGGAAGTGTGGAGCTATTGTATTTCGAGTAGGACTTCAACTCTCCCCAATTCAAGTGGAAGGAAATTCTCAATCCCCAATGTTGACTTTCTGCTTTACAAACCCCTTCCCTTTCATGGCTACCCCTGTTCTCATGATCATTCCATAATGTGTCATATTTGTTATGGATAGTTTTAGTTTTTCAACTACTTTTTTGAGCAATAAAGTTGTCAGTTGCACCACTTTCCATCAACACTCTCATCTTTCCTTAGGCTAGCTTGCCATTCATTTTGATCGTCTTGGTGTTGTAAATCCCATGAGTGAATTTAATGATAATTCGGTCACATCCCTACTTCCATCGCCGGAAGATCAACTGGTTTTCCTGTCGTGTCCATCTCTTGTTAGTAATTTCCGTTTCTGTATTGTTTTCGTTCACTACCAGTACTCTCATGCTCTTTAGTTCCTTACTTGCATCAATACCCTACGGTAAACTTTTCATCACACTTGAACCAAAGGCCTTTCTCTTTTCTTGTTTGAAACTCTGTTTCTGAAAGTTTTTTAGCAACTGTGTCACAAGGTTTCGTTGGAGTTGGGACATTTATCAGCATAATCATCCACATGGTTTAAGTTCAAACAGCTTGAGGTCATCTTTTTCCATTGTTGAAGTTGGCTTAGGTTTATTGCTTGGGCCGTACTTTTAAGGCCTTCTGTTTTCTTCGACCCAACACGAATGAGTTCCCTATCACGTACAAATTGGGCTGTCTTCATCATTTCTTCTAGTCCGACTGGCCTCCATACTCGATCTTTGTCCTCAGCACCGGATCCAGCCGATTGAGAAACACATTTTCAGTACTTTGTTCGTTAGGTGGGACAACGGTAAAGGTATTACAGTACTCCTCTACTGTCGTTCCCTGCCTGACTGTTATGAAACTCCCACACACATTCCCCTCCTTTGTGCGCCAAAACAATTGAGTAGCCTGATTAACAAATTGTTCCAGTCTTTAAAGGGTTCTCGTTCTTCCTTCCTTTGGTACCAACTTAATGCTATACCTTCTGAACTTAATATAGCCACAATTAAAATTTTCAGAATATGTTCGTTTATGAATTGGAAGCACTTGTCGCCTTGAAAGAGCCATGAATCGGGGTCACTGCCTCCAAACAACATCGTCTCTACCTTCTTGAATTTACTTCGATCGCTGGATTCTTCGTCCGTTTTCTTTGGATTCTCTTTCACTTGTCTAGATATCTCGGCAGACTCTTCTGCTTACATTTGCTTTGAACTCGGCCCCTTGACAAATGCCATCTCGTAAGCCAAAGAGGTTAATGTCTTGGTCAATGCTGGTAAACTCTCATCTAATGTCTTTATCTTTTGATCTGTCGCACCATACGCTCATCTGATCACTTTTAAATCGTTTTTCTCAATTTTCTCAGGATGAATTGATTTGGTACCAATATGTAAGGTTTCTCCCTTACAATATGGAAAGGTCAGTGCCCTCTGGCAATACAAAACTCCCCCATCCAATTCGAGAGAGCTGATAATATCTCTCGTTCCTCTGAGAATTTCAATTGACAAAAATCATAAAAGGAAGTAACGTTACCCCCTGTACATATAAAGGACCTGACCTTCACTCACTCCCATACATTCTTTGTGATCCCCTCTAATCCTAACTAATATTTGCCACTCGTAGCGAATACGCGTCGTATCCTAACACCATTGTTAAGTGTATTTAGTACTGCCATAAGGGTGGATTAAGGCTACTGAGTAGTATTTACTTGGTTCAATTTTGAATTTAAGATCAATACGTCTTTTGTAATATTTTGTTTTCGAGTTATAAGGAAGGGTTTTGATGTAGCTGCATCACCTTATACACGTTATTTTCCTGTCAATTATTGCAATTGGTTCACATCTTTTTTGTTCTACACTCTTTGATATTTTTCAAATTGTACACATTTGTAAAAAGGTTCCCTTGATCATCGTGGATCAAAAATTTCAAGTAAGATTGTATCCCCACTGAGATCTGTTCATCTCATTAACAGGTGAGTTGAAAACATCAGGAAAATAGTCTAGGAAGTGCCATAAGTGGAGCATGGACATGGAAGGCCATGGCGATCAGACGAGGCTCAAACCATCAGTTATTTTAACTGGAACAGCCAATGAAGGTAGCTCTGGCCCTCCTATTGGTCTTGTTGATATTGGCGTGAGTGAAGGTGCATACCTCTTCCGCGTTGCAATGCCTGGTGTACGAAAGGATCCAAGTAAGCTCCTTGTTTTGCCTTATTTTTCTATCATTCTAACATTTGCATAGATCCCATCCTGATTATACCTCTGGAATGTTAATCCCGGACCGATCCATTTAGAGCGATAACTTGTTGGTCAAATCTCTAGGTAAGGTAAAATTTGAGATCAAAAGGGATGGTAAGGTTCAGATTGAAGGAGTGATGGCAGGTCCAGGCCTCTTAAAAGAATCATCAGCTATGTACGAGATGAAAGTCCAGCAACTGTGTCCTCCGGGACCTCTTACGATTTCTTTTAAGCTGCCTGGACCAGTCGATCCACGGTTGTCGTCTCCTAGTTTCCGGGCTGATGGCATTCTGGAAGTGGTGGTTATGAAGTCTAAAGCACCTCCAACAGTGTCTGATTCCTACCCACCATTGTGAGGAGTATGATGGAGAGAGGTATCTGGTTTTGCTGTCTCCTTTTGTTCTTCATTTCCAGTCACTTGAATTACCCAAAGACACAAAAATGATTATAGTTTTCTATGTTAACTATTTCTTTTCATATGAAGTAGGGTTTTTAAATCACTTGCAATGTAATTTAATCCATAGTTTTGCCCATTTAAAGTCTAGCCTTTTTTACTTGATCGTAGCTTTTGTCTTGTTATTTTACTTTCAATTCTGTCTAATAAACCATTTTAAATATGACATGTTGAGTGTATTAATTATGGTTTATTTGAGGTTAGTATTAGATGGCTATAGACAGATTAATTTTCTAATAGCTCATTTATCGCTAACATATATTGTTCTCTTTGGGTTTTCCCTCAAAATTTGTAAAATGCTTTTGTTAGGGAGAGCTTTCCACACCGTTATAAAGAATAATTCGTTCTTCTCTCCAACTAATGTGAAATTTTATAATCCAATGAATTTCATGCCTGTGGTGACTTTAAAGGAAAAAAAAAAAAAAAAAATTAGGAGGGTTATAAATTTTAAGCACTAATTGTAAAACTAATACATCTGAAAAACTGAAAATATGGCTATCATAGGACTCTAGAATATGTTTTTTAGTTTGAGTGATTTAATAATAATTATTTTTGTAAAAGCATTTAATTATGAATTACTTTGATATTTGATTCCACACTTTGATTTCATTAAAAGTATTTTTTTTATGATTAATGTTTATTTTGAAAAGTATGTTTTATTATCAATTTAAAGTAAAAAAATAAAAAAAAATGAGATTAAATGTTTATTTTGAAAAGTATGTTTTATTATCAATTTAAAGTAAAAAAATAAAAAAAAATGAGATTAGAAAATGCTAGGAAAGAAATATATATATATATATATATATATATATATATATATATATATATGAAAGAAGATATTAGTGAGAATGGTNTGTAAAAGCATTTAATTATGAATTACTTTGATATTTGATTCCACACTTTGATTTCATTAAAAGTATTTTTTTTATGATTAATGTTTATTTTGAAAAGTATGTTTTATTATCAATTTAAAGTAAAAAAATAAAAAAAAATGAGATTAGAAAATGCTAGGAAAGAAATATATATATATATATATATATATATATATATATATATATATGAAAGAAGATATTAGTGAGAATGGTATATATATATATATATATATATATATATATATATATATATATGAAAGAAGATATTAGTGAGAATGGTACTACGCATTAGGGTTGCACATCGTGTGTCAATTTTGAACTTTAAAGGGACATTGAAAATTGATCATTCCATTATAGTCCCTAGGAGATGGATGGTTTTGGAATTTTGGATGAGACGGAGAAACCTGCTGTAGAAATATCCATTTCATTCATAGAGTCGGGATCCTATAGAGACGCACCTGGAACGAAGCGAGAAATGAGAAATAGGTAGAGATAGATTTTTTCCATAAGATAAACGGGGTCAGGAACCGAGATTATATTCTTTGTTCCTAACCCACCGATATCTCGGCCCCTCATTATAATTGAAATATTGGAAAAAAATTACAAATGATATCAGAATGATACTTCTTCTAGTGAGATAGAGTTCGAAGACGAACCATGGTAGAAGCTAGTGGACATGTGACACCCGAGTAAAGAAAAGATACATAAATGATCAGAGACCACATTCGAATGAGAGTGAACATGAGGATAGATAGCTGAGAAAGACTTAAAGAATTGAAAATCACTACCTATACCAACAAGGTGTACCTTTCTTTTCGGTAGCTCAATTGTAGAAATTTTATGGTTAAACATGCTTTATTTGAATTAGTTTGATGTTGACTGACCTCTTGGAAATTTTCCTACGAGATATTTAAACATCATAATACTATGTGCACTCCATTCCCTTCATGGTATATTGGTCGTGTGAGTGTACGCTAGTCGAAGGTCAAGTCTAGGAAGTACGTATATGAGCGAGTGTACGCTAGTCGAAGGTCAAGTCCAGAGGGTACGTATATGAGCTCACGTGAGGGTTCATGTAGGCTATGTGTTGCTTGTGCTTGCACATCCTGACCCTAATAGTGGGGTTACTTATATTTTTAAATACTCAAGTCATACGCTACTTTTTAGGTAAATGTAAGACACTCTTACACGAAATCCATGAAAGTAATGTTAGGGCAGTAGCGTTTTATATTTCTTTAAGAAGCCCATAGGTTAGATCAAGACATTTGCTTAATTTTATTTAGACTTTTGCCATCTATCTATCTCCTAACGCAGATATAAATGAATTTATTTTGAACGTTTAAGTCTATGACATCGTTTATGAAATATTTTTAAAAACTTTTCCGTGCATCGTTTACACTGAATATTACTAAACAATTTTTCGCACATATTAAGCATGTCATGCATGTAGTAACGACTTTATTCTAATAGTAAAAATAAGATCATTACAATTGGTATCAGAGCGATACCTTTCCCAATAAAATGTGGTTTGGGGACAAATCAAGACAAAAGCTAGTGAATATGTGATACTCGAGTAAATGAGAGATAGATGAATGAACTAATACCACATTCGAACGAGAGCAATAAAACACACCATAGACGGTCACTAAATCATGATAATAAAAAAATAATTAAAAAGAACAGACAATAAAAATTGAAATAAAATAGTTTAAGATTCAATTGCTATGATAAAAAATAAAAATGGGGAAGTTATTGCTAGAAGAGAAAAGAATCTATTCCCAATCTAACCTCCCCCATCTAATCATTGAAAACTCTATCATTGGATCCTAGTAGATCTCCTTGTCCCTATGTATTTGTTTCTCTCTCTTAAATTCCTTTTTTTTTTTTCTCTTCTATGTTCTTCCTAAAGAACGGATAAGTCGGGATCTAATGCACCGTGTCATTCTCCTACATCTCTTGGAACATTATCATGTTACCTACTTATTTCGAACGGTTTTTAAGAGTGAAAATGTGAAATCTCATATTGGTTGGAGAGCAAAACTAAACATTTTTTTTATAAGAGTATAGAAACCTCTCTTTAGTAGACGCGTTTTAAAATCGTGAGATTGACAACAATACGTAACAGACTAAAACGGATAATATCTACTAGTGGTGGGCTTGATCTGTTCCAAATGATATTAGAGTAAGGTTACGGACCGGTGTGCCAACAAGGACGCTGGCTCCAAAGGGAGTGGATTGTGAGATCTCACATTGGCTCGAGAGGAAAACGAAACATTTCTTATAAAAGTGTGGAAGCCTTTCCCCAATAAACATGTTTTAAAACCGTGAGACTGACGACAATATGTAACAATAAACTTGAGTTGTTAGAGAAAACTATTCATACAAATTCACACGAGTACTTTTACAAAAAATCATATTTTTATTTATGTGTTGATTCTTGATTTAATTGAAGTGATTGAATATCTAATATTGCGGTGCCTATTTGCATAGCTAAGAATTTTATGTTTTGTGAGCATTTCCTTTCTCTCTTTTCTTTGATTCTTTTGTGAGTACAATATAATAAATAATATCTCATAATATCTAGTCCACACTTGAGGGAAGACTATGGACCACAATAATAAAGAAAAAAAAACCACCGCTATGAGATATTATCCGTGTTAACTTGAGTAGAGATTGTCTGTTTTGGGCCGTTACGTATTGTCGTCAGTTTCACAGCTTTATGTCCATATTAGCTCGTTATGTATCGCTGTTAGTCTCATGATCTTATGTCCATTTTGGCCTATTACATATCGTTGTTAGCCTCACAGTTTTAAAACGTATATACTAGAGAGAGGAAGAAATGTTTTGTTCCCCTCTACAACTTATGTTGGATCTCACAATCCACTCCTTTGAGGCCCAACGTCCTCGTTGTCATACTGCTCAGTATTTGGCTCTAATACCATTTGTAACATCCCAAGCCTATCGTTAGCAGATATTATCCGCTTTGGCCCGTTATGTATCACTGTCATTTCACGGTTTTAAAATGCATCTACTAGGGAAAGAATTCCACACTCTTATAAAAAAATGTTTCGTTCCACACTCCCACCGATGCGGGATCTCATATAAATGAAAAAAAAAAAAAAACCCTAATATCTTGAGTATGTTAGTGTTCTGTCTCGATAAAAAAAAAAAAATTTATACTTGTTGGGTTATACCCTAGAAGCTTAAGTTCTAGAAACGGTTGGGGAATAACTAATGAAAATGCAACACTGGATCCAGCGATACCTTCATCGCACTTTCAAGGCCAAGTAAGAGTGAGCTCGACGGGAGATAGAGGCGCTATAAGAGTTTAAATAGTGTAATTTCGAGTAAAAGAGGTAAGAAGTCAATCGATCAACAAAATTCAAAATTTTAAAAAATCAAACGTTGCCTAAAAGTGTTGTCTCTATTATTTATTTTATTATTTTTGATTTGCTAAAATCAAAAAATTCAATAAATGACTCAACAACTCAAAATAATCCAACCCAAATATTTCATGGTTGAGTTCATTGCATGGATTGAAAAAAATTACAACACGAACAAGTGGGTTAGGTCTAAAATGATTTTAACAAATACTTATTAGATAACGACTCAAGTCTACCGCTAGTAAATATTGTTCACCTTGGATTTTCCTTTCAATGTTTCGTTCTTCTCTCCCATTGATGTGGATCTCACAATCCACCTCTTTCGAAACCCACGTTCTCACTAGCATTCGTTCCTCTCTCCAATCAACGTGTAATCTCACGTGTTAGATTAAGGTTTTATTCAGACTCTAAGTACAAACTTCTAAATCGCTTTAATTAAACAACTGTATTAGCTCACAACTCAACTTATAAAGTTTAAGAACGTAAATCAAATTTTTCCGTTCTTGATTGAATTCGAACCAAACCCTCCTACCGTTCTCTCTCTTTTTCATAACCTAAAAAACATATCGAGTCGAAAACAAAGCGATACTCCCAACACGACGAAAGTGCCCATACCCTAATAAGAACTCAGATAAATTGTAATAGTGAAGGAGCCAAGAAAGAAAAGAGTAGATTGGTAGGCAGTCCATGGTCTATGGTACCCTACACATAATGGGCCTTCTTGGTTCTTATTATGATCATATCATGCTCCTGAAGACAAGAATCCAAGGCTTTTCACTTATCACAGTCAATCTGACCACGTTTTCTCTATTATTTTTCATAGCCTAATTGAGGT